TGGAATATAATAATATTGGAGGACAAGCGGGAGTATTTTTACGCCAAATTGTAAAGGGGTGCATAAGTCGATGTAATTAGACACTAATCCCAGCATTAAGAGTAAATATGAGTATAAATTCAAGGTTGGAATGAAAACAAGCTCATGAAGGCGTAAAGCATGTAATACAATTGGACAAAGCCAAAACTTCTAGGATGCGAGAAAGATCGAGCGGACATGATACCCTGACAGAAGTGAAGGCAAATATAGACGACAATATCTCGATAGAGGCAACTAGTGGTGCTAGAATGCAAATCAGTCGAAAATAAGCGCAAAGTAAGTGCAAGAAGTCACCGTTCACTAAATTTTATTTGGACAAATTACTTTGACTTTTTTGTTTTGGCCGGGGCAGCAGTCACAGGTTTCAAATTTTTCAACAAGGCACTTGCGCGTCTCAAAGCCAACTAGGATATAGTTAACCACAATAAATAGTAATACCATTTTAAGCTCCCGCCTGTAGCCTTGCCGGCATATCAAATTCCTGATTTTTAGCAAAGCCCGCCTGCGACCACGGACAAATTTCGTTGATGTTACTGATTTACCGGGCTTGTAATCTTTACCAACTTTTTTTGTGTTAAGAACAATGCCCTTCCCACTGACATCTTGGCGTATACCAATCGCTTTTCTATGAACAAATCCACAGTACATAAAGCAGTTTTTTCCCTTTAGATTTAGGGGATCCTTGCTAAATTGATGGCCACTGGTCTTCATGAGGTAGGAATGATTTCTTTTGATCAAATCCCATATAAGGGTAGAACTGGACATGACGGATGGGAAGGGGAGAGACGAAATCTGGGGGCAAAACCAAGCAGGCGATTTAAACACAACAGGTTGATCGAAATACTTACAATCAGTATTGTGCTAAAAAATCTTAATAATTGATATGCTAAACAATTGTATAATATCTATCTAGATTTTTAGGAATTTATATACTTGCCACTGAATAGTTTTGTAAATAAAATCGAGGCAATAAAGTAATACCTTGAGTCACCCTGTGAACGTTTACAAACACCAGTAGAATAGGCTGACCTGAAAAGTTATTTGCCTGAAAGTCATTAATGCTTTGCATCTAATGGAAATTAAGTTGTGAAAATAATCTTATTTTAATCCGATTTACATGGGTTAAAACATAAATCTATAGTTGTTGAGCTTACTTCCATTTCGAGTAG